AAACTTTATGTGCAAATCTGATAAATGTGTTTAAATATAATTTAAATGTTTTACATCAACTAAATATGTTTTTTTTATCAGAATAACCACCTTGTTCCAAGTGCAGCACAAGGCCTTTTTAATGTGGCGATTATATGCATAGATGAGACTAGACAACAAAAACAGTTCAATCCCCTCTGGAATTCCCCTCATGATTAACCCTAGCTCTCTCCTTTGGGAACGGTATTGCCAGAGACTAAACTCAATAATTGTAAACCACCAAAACTTTAGTTTTTATTTACCATCACAGCATGTGTCTTATATCTTGTCCAACACATATAAGATTTGCCAGTGACACATAGAAGAAGTAGTCAACTGCTAGATGTGAGTCAAGTGAATTCCACAATGAATCTACAACTGCAAACCAACATACAGTATTTACTACTGTATTTATGCAAATGAAGACATGCCCATTATTGTCTGTAGGTATGCTACAATGCTATGATACTAGGGATCATGATTGTTGGCTAAAATTTACATCAGATATACAGTGAATAGTCAGCAGACAGTCCCATGTTAGATTTGGTTCAGTGACCATGACACAATGCAACAAATATTTAGTTCAACTGGCAATGATGGAATTTAACTAGTTTGAATTTCGAGGCATTGAATGTGTTGTAATTTGGGCTAATCCGCGTTGCCAAAATGGTGTAATCTAGGGAAGATTACTGAATAGGATAATCACATGAAGATTGCTAATAAACGATAATACTTGTGACAAAAACAACACATATAAGATTCACCAGAGACATGTGGAAGAAGTCGTCAACTGCTAGAAGTGAGTCAAGTGAATTCCACAATGAATCTACAACTGCAAACCAACATACAGTATTCACTACTGTATTTATGTGAATGGGGACATACCCATTATCATCCATAGGTATGCTACAACAATAAATAAGCAATTTATTTATTGATGGCCTTTATATTTAAATTGCTTAGTTTTGTGATATACAGTGACCGTTAATAATTAAATATAACTCAAGACTTCAATGTTAAAATAAAACAGTATTTAATTACAACCGCAAATAAATACGTAACAAGAACAATCCGAGGAATATCACTGAATAGAATTACAATTGTGTATGTATGCTTGAACACATGAATGTGTATCCGTGCCTAATCTCAGATTGTTTATATGGGTGTGTTTGTGTGAACTATAATGTGTACACCTGTATGTTTGTGATGTCTGTGTGTTTGAGAGTGTCATCCCAAAATGGACACAGACGAGAGATCCCCCTTCCCACCAACAAACATAGTCAAAAACAAACAAGCATAAATAGATCCAATTTTTAAAAAATAAACCTGTCTGATGATCGCAAAAGTGTGAAACCCAGGGTCACAAACTCATATCCATACAACTGAATATGTTAGCTCTATCACTGATATTGAGCACTTTCCAATAAGTACTGCACATATAAAATTATATATATATATATATATATGTATATATATATAGTACAGGTAATGCAAGGCGAATGGTTGATTTGTATATTTGAAGTATTCTCCCCGGAATCGATACTTCAAATATACAAATCAACCATTCGCCCTTGCATGGAGTATTGCTGCCATATATGGTCTGGGGCACCTTCTATTTACCTCGGAGTTCTTGACAAGATCCAGAGACGGATATGTAATATAATTGGCTCTGATCTGGCATCTCGTCTGCAGTCACTCTCTCACAAACACGCCGTCGTCTCTCTCTGTCTTTTCTACAAATACTTTCATGGTAATTGCTCCGATGAGCTGCTTTCACTGGTTCCCAGACTCCATGAATTCAAGCGCTCTACGAGGCTGGCATCCCGCTCCCATCCTTACACTGTAGAAACTTTTAAATATAGCCGTCTCTTCTACTCCAATAGCTTCATGCCTCGCACCTCTCGCCTGTGGAACACCTTTCCCAATTACTGTTTCCCTGAGAGCTATAATCTCCAACTATTCAAATGTAATGCCAATCGACACCTCCAGTTACCTTGATCTACCCACTATCCTTTCTTCTATCACTCCTATCTGCTCTCGCTCCAAATCTTCTGCAACCCCCTGCATCCTAGTGGCTTCATGCCTTGCTTGGGGCATAATGCTTAAAAAAAAAAAAAATGTAATTGATCCATTGGTATATAATACGGGTGGATCCTAGTAATAGTAATTATTAAAACTGATCCACAGAGAATTTGATGTTTTTATTCTAACAGAGCATATGTATTTTTTTTTTACATCAAACGAACAAAAATTACCTCAACATAGATATAGTCTATTTCAAGTTGTTCTGTATACACTTATCATCAGTCTCAAAACATTGTTTTAAATTTATTTTCAATGTCAGTCCTCCTCTCTTAGATATATTGTTTATGAGAGTGGGTTTGTGTTAGCGATTGGTATATATACATATATATATATATATATATTTATTTAGGCAGCATATCTTCATACCAATACTTGATTCAACCAAACATTCTTGAATGAAGATATGCTGCCTAAATATACATATTTTAAATTATATATCTATCTGCTCAACATCATATATATATATATATATAAGCAGCATATCTTCATTCAAATATGTTTCATTGAATAATTTAGACATATTGTGTCTGTTTATTTTTATACTGATCCTTTCCAGTTCTCTCATCAGTTTCTTGATGTTAAGATGAAATTTATGAAGGAAGGCACCATAGTTTTTTCCTACCCAAGTACTTTAACCTCTTCCAAGATCATCCTCAGGGGTAAATTACAAAGATAAGCTTATTGTAACTATGATGAAAGTGCCCTTTATATTGAAACACCTTTAAAAAAAAATCCATAGCTACAACAGATAGATTTAAAATTTTAAAATAATCATAACAGAGTGCCTTCACACATATTTTTCAAAAATCACCATCACCAGAAAATGCAGATTTTATCAGAATTCTTTGTGATTTTCTCCTGATGATCGTCTTGGAAGAGATTGAAAGTATTTGGGTAGGAAAATTACAATAAGTTTGTCTTTGTAATTTACTCCTCAGGATGGTCTTGGAGGAGGTCGAAGTACTTAGGTAGGAAAAAATTAAAGTGCCTTCCTTGATGAACTTAACATCAAGAAACTGAATCAGTGAACGAGAAATGATTAGTATAAAAATAAATGGACATAATATCTCTATATTATTCAATGATATATATATATATATATATATATATATATATATATATATATATATATATATTATAAGATATTATAATAAAAACATTTTAAATCACTACACAAAAAGATTTTATGTTTCAATACTATGATTGTACTTCCTCAGGTGATGGTTGGTAACTGTTGATAAAAGAACTGGTGTTCTTTCTCTCATTTATATATATATATATGTCAAATATATGTCAATTAAATAAATAAATATAAATACAAGCATGTGATCATATGCATATATAAATCTGAAAATAGATATTTTATTTAATTTCAGGTGTTAACAAAACAGTGCTCAATGTGGCAATACAGAGCTATAAATTATATATTAACAAATATATATATTACCTTATGTTGAAAGTACAACTTGAAATTTCATGTTCAGTACAATTTTATGTTACTTATAATGGTCATAAACAGTGCATCACCATTACAAGTAACATTATCTGAAAATTGTATTGAACATGAAACTCAACTTTGACATATATATATATATATATATATATATATATATATATATATATATATATATATATATATATATATATATATATATATATATATATATATATATATATATATATATATATATATATATATATATATATATATATATATATATATATATATATATATATATATATATATATATATATATATATATATATATATATATATATATATATATATATATATATATATATATATATATATATATATATATATGTACTTAGTTATTACTTCAAATGTTATTTTTAGTGGATACCCATGTTTAAAAAGGCCACAGATGCATTATCATTGTACCATCAAGTATGAACAAACCCCTGTTGGTACGGTGTGAAGATCTTGTTGATGCAACACAAAAGCTTTGTTGATGTGTGAAAGCTTTGTCAGTGCAGTGTGAAACCTTCATTGGTATGATTTGAAACTTGTTAATCTGGCATCAAAACTTTGCAGGTGTCATATGAAAACTTTGTTAGCATGATGTGAAACCTTTGTTGGTGTGGTGTGAAGCCACTGTTGGTATGGCATAAAACCTTCATTGGTAGGGTGTGAAACCTTTGTTGGTGTGGTGTGAAATCACTGTTGGTATGGCATAAAACCTTCATTGGTAGGGTGTGAAACCTTTGTTGGTGTGGTGTGAAATCACTGTTGGTATGGTGCAAAACCTTCATTGGTAGGGTGTGAAACCTTTGTTGGTGTGGTGTGAAACCACTTGTTATGGCACAAAACCTTCATTGGTATGGTGTGAAACCTTTGTTGGTGTGAAAACTTTGTTAGCATGGTGTGACACCTTTGTTGGTGTGGTGTGAAACCACTGTTGGTATGGCTCAAAACCTTCATTGGTTGGGTGTGAAACCTTTGTTGTTATGGTGTAAAACCTTCATTGGTATGGTGTGAAATCTTTGTTAGCATGGTGTTAAACTTTGTTGGTTTAGTATGAAACTTCCATTGGTATAATGTGAAACATTCATTGGTGTGGTGTGGTACTGTTTTTGCATGTGGTGCTAAACCTTCATTGGTGTCGCGCAAAACCTTTGTCAACTCATAATACAGATAACAAGCAACACTCGCAATGGCAAAACATTTTCTTCTCAAAACTATGATACATATTTGGTTATTTTATTTGCTGCCCCCTCCCCCCAAAGTTGTGACAAACAGAAAAATGAACATACAAGAACATACATACAATGGTTGAAATGTGGTAAAAACAAGAAAGACAATGATAGTTGTTTGAATGTAAATAATGATAAATCTTCATCCTAGAAATTCTCACAGATTTTAAGAAATCAAGATTTCAGAGAATTTCTGAAAATGTCTTTTCAAGTTTTTGAAGTTTGTTCAGCAAAATGGAATTATCGGAATCCTTCAACTCCTTTTTCAGATTTTGAAATAAATTTTTGCAGTTTTCTTTTTCCTGAGGGGTGAGGAATAATAAGCACAAAAGAAATCGTTGCGATGTCGACAGCACATCAAGGATTGCCAGAACGTCTTCTGTCTTTATATCGGCTTGGTACAAATCAAGAACCTTAATGATTTGACCAAGCAAGCCATGAGCAACCTCAAGCTTGAAGAATTCGGACAGTTTGGCAATGCCAATGGCCAGGAGCAACTGACACTGTTTCTGGCTGGAATCTTTGAGTCGGCGCCATTCGACTACAAATTCGTTACTACTTTTTGGAATAATTACGTCATCCTGTAAAAAAAAAAAAAGTCATTCAATTAAATTCTTAATAATATGTGCCATGTCCCTTCAGGATGTTGGTGATAATGTCTCTCCATAGTTTCCCATTCTTTGGAGCTCTTCAAAAATTTTCTCTTTTAGTTATCTCTCCTAAACCCAGTTTTGCCATTCATTTACTCAAGCTCATTCTTCTTTTATGTGTTGTGTCTCTTCAGGACTTAGGCGATCATGACCCTCCACATCTTCCTTTCCCTTGTAGCTCTTAATAAATTTTGTTATCTATCCTAAACCTTGTTCTGCCATCCATTTACTCAAGCTCATTCTTCTTCTTCTATGTGCCATGACCCTTCAGGACATAGGCAATCATAGCTCTCCACAATGTCCTGTCCTTTGTAGCTCTCAATAAATTTTGTCTTTTTGTTATCTCTCCTAAACCCTGTTCTGCCATCCATTTACTCAAGCTCATTCTTCTTCTTCTATGTGTAGTGTCCCTTCATGTTTTTGGTGATCATGACTCTCCACTATTTCCTGTTCTTTATAGCTCTTAATACATTTTATCTTTTAGTTATTTCTTCTAAATCATGTTTTGCCATCCAGTTACTCAAGCTCATTAGATAAGGTATGTGTTGTTTTTTTCTGTCCTATTTACCTTCAATCTGTCCTGTGAGTATCAAATTTTCCAAGCCCTCTTTCCGCAATCAAATAATGTTTAATATTTTTGTTGTAAATTCTCACAAACAAAAAAACAAATTTTTAGGTTCATTACAATTCAAATCATTGCTTTTTAAAACAATCAACTTTGCTGAGGAGTGAAGGTAGTTAAAATAATAGTGGTGTCAAGGGAAAAACCATCCTTTTAATAGTACATCTTATTGTAGGCACATTTCTCATATTTGCCAAAGTTTACCTGATTCTTGAATGCTTTTAAGATATTTTCTGTTGTGAGGCTCTCCCCTTTTTACATAAGATGGACTTGTCCAAAGTATACTTATACTGACAGAGAGAATACCTGCTGTTGAGATATGTTGAGATGTCAAACTCTCTGCTTTGGCAGAGAGGAACCCGGACGAAGCTTTGCCGAAGGGCAAAGTTTCGCCCGGGGAGATAGACAGTTCTCGAACCCACTTATGAAGGTTAAAAAGGGATATTTTTTGGCTGGGCCTACGGGCTGAGAGAAACCCACTTTAAACTTGGCCTTGTGCCACATATATTGTGGGTGGAATATTAAATACTGAGATATGTTGAGATACATGGAGATACGTGGAGATACATTGAGATAGGTTGAGAGATACGGAGACAGACACAGGGTGTTCTCAGAGAGTTATACAAGAGTCCAGAGAGAGAGATGATTATGGCTTTACTTACAGAGACTTGTACATATACTTTCTACTAACCTGCATTCCTGGACTACTAATCTTCACTTCAAGACTGTATTCTTACATTTAATACACTTATTTTTCTATCTCAATTACTGGTGTTGTTTATTTATTTGTGCAGGATTCCATTCATGGAATCCACAACATTTTCCTTTTATTGTCCATATATCTTTAAACCCACATTTTAAAAAATGCGACAGTCATCTTCTTCTATGTGCAATGTCCCCACAAATCTTCAAGAATTTAAATGCAATGTCAATCACTATTTACATTATTCTGACTATTGTCCTCATCTTTGTCACCATATTTATTACAACGTTTCGGCCATTGTATGTTCTGGCCTTTTCAGGTGGTTGGAATGTCAAACTGAACCCTTTATTTCGCTCACTGGGGTAGACTGTTCTTGTTCTCCATACCATGGCACAGTGGATAAAGGCGTTAGTTAGATCTAGTGACAGGACCCAAAGAGTGTGAGTTCAATACCCGGTTAAGGCAATGGAGAACTTGGAGAGGTGAATTAACAGGAGATAACTGACAACTGACATCCATAAAACATGGCACATAGAACTAGGACAGTCTACCCTAGCAAGCAAACTACAGGGTTCAGTTCGACATTCCAACCACCTGAAGAAGGCCGGAGTGTACAAAAGTAGAAACATTGTAATAAATATGGCGACAAAGATGAGGACAATAGTCCGAATAATGTAAATAGTGTACATAATACCTCACCTCAGAAATATAGATTGATACTGAAGGGTAATAAATATGGTGACAAAGATGAGGACAATAGTCCGAATAATGTAAATAGTGTACATAATACCTCATCTCAGAAATATAGACAGATACTGAAGGGTGGTAAATATGGCAACAAAGATGAGGGCAAATAATGTAAATAGTGTACATAATACCTCATCTCAGAAATATAGACAGATACTGAAGGGTAATAAGTATGGCAACAAAGATGAGGACAATAGTCCGAATAATGTAAATAGTGTACATAATACCTCATCTCAGAAATATAGACAGATACTGAAGGATGATAAATATGGCAACAAAGATGAAAACAATAGCCCGAATAATGTAAATAGTGTACATAATACCTCATCTCAGAAATATAGACAGATACTGAAGGGTGATAAATATGGCAACAAAGATGAGGACAATAATCCGAATAATGTAAATAGTGTACATAATACCACATCTCAGAAATATAGACAGATAGTGCAATGTCAATCGTTATCTACTGTCTTCCTGATTAGACTTCTTTTGTTCTCACACCTTAGTAATGTTTCTGTTTTCTAATTCTTCCACACCCAGTAACTCCTTGTGTCTTAGTGACTTTACTATTGTGCTTGGGAGGAACTCGATTAAAAAAAAAATATTTCTATGGTAATTGTTTGGCTGAACTTTTTGCTATGGTACCTAGACTTTATGAATTTAAGCATAGTACTAGATTGGCAGTAAGGTCTCATCAATTCACAGTTGAATTGGCCGCTAGATGTAACCATAAGTTCTATACTAACAGTTTTTTTTCTTGTACATGGAACTCTCTTCAATCTCCATGCTTTCTAGTGAACTTTAATCTTCCAAAATTTAAATGCAATGTCAACTGTTATCAACTGTTCTCCTGATTACTCTTCTTTTGTTCTCGCTCCTTAATAATGTTTCTGTTTTCTAATTCTTCCATATCCAGTAACCCCTTGTGTCTTAGTGGCTTTACTGCCTTGCTTGGAGTGAACATGATTAAAAAAAAAATTCTCAAGAACAAAACAAAAAAATGTATAAATTCACTTTTATCATGTGTTTGGGTTTTATTTCAACTCTAATCATTGCTTTTTGAAACAATAAACATTGATGAGGAGTAAGGGTAGTTAAAATAATAGTGGTGTCAAGGAAAAAACCTTCCTTTTGACACTACAGCATATTACAGGTACAATTATTCATGTTTATCCAGGAAAATATCATTAAAAACAAAGAAAATAGGACTGATCTGAAATGTAATGTCAATCTTTCTATATAGCAGTGAATGCTGGACAATTTTCTATAGATGAAAAAGAACCTTGAGGCAAAAGATATTTTGTTTTACAGAAGGATGCTGAGAATACCATGAAAGGAGCACGTAATCAACAAGGAAGTTTGATTGATTTTATTGCTTATCAACCTTTCTTACAGCTGAGAACAAAATGAACAATTATACTTGTTAGGGGAGACAACTCTCCCCTAACGAATCATGGACTCTTCACAAAAAATGTGTAGTATCAGACAACAACATAGTTTCTGGACAATACACCACCTGTAAACAGTGAATTGTTTATCCAACTCAATCCTGCTGTATCTTGGTCAGTGAGAATAAAAACAAATATTGGTGTGTTTTAAAATATATTTAACTGTGTTTTGTTATATTTTGTTGTTCCTAATATTTTGGGTTACAAGAGCTTCTTTGGTCTTAATTGTTATAATCAAGATTATATTTTCTCTCAATATCAGTACCTTCATAATCCCATCTATTTGGCAAATTGTTGATCTGTTGGGCGTAAAGTTCTTCAGGTTACAATGCAAAGAAGAAGTAGTATTCAATAACAGCTTTAACCACTGTCAAAAATTTTTCGATTGATCTGAAAGTATGATACATCTTTACTTTATACATACTTTCATGTGATGCATTACTATGTTACCAACTTCATAAACCAACATTTTAATCCATTTTCTGGGGAGAACCTAACCTGCCAGCTGATGATGCCACTGAAGCATTTTTTTATCATTTATCTTCCTTTCTTTATTAACGGCTCCCATATTGTATTTGTTTCTATGCTAAGTCTACTAAGAAGATCCTACTAGTCTAGCATATGCACTGTGTTAGGGGAGACAACTCTTCCTTAACGAATCAGGAACTCTTCACGGAAAAAGGGTAGTATGAGACAACAACATGGCTGCTGGACAATACACCAACTGTAGACAGTGAATTGTTTATCTAATGCAAGCCTGCTGTATCCTGGTTGGTGAGAATAAAAACGAATATTGTCGTGTTCTAAAATATATTTAACTGTGTTTTGTTGTTCCTAATATTTTGGGTTACAACAATACTTAAAATCAGAAAGAAACAGTTGAAATTTCTGGGATGACAGTGAAGGTGGTTAAAATAAAACAGTGTCATGGGAAAAAACCATCCTATTAACACTACATCTTATTGCGGGCACGTTTGTCCATGTTTGCCAAAGTTTACATTACATTTAAATAAATATTCCGGATTCCTGATTCTTAAATGCTTTTGAGATATTTTCCTTTTATTGTCTGTACATTTTTAAATCCATATTTCAACAACTGAAAACAGTAGTGAGCCTTTAAAAATTAATGTCCCTAGATTTGATGCAGTTTAAGTAAATCTGACCAAATGATGTCATTTATGCAAGAAAGAGAGAAAAGAAATCAAATGGTAAAAATATTGACCTCTTTTTGGAGTTTTACACTCTGAGTTGCTGAAGACTGTTTCTTTTCCGTTTGTGTCTGGTGCACCAAAGTGTTCCAAGGTTGCTGGAATTTCTCTTTGATTTTGTCACTTTTGTCCAATGGTTTCAAATGTGCAGCCAAGACAATATCTCTGGATGAAAAACATGAAAAATTTTTACAGAATATTTTGTAAGTATTTAATAATAATAATAATCTGGTATCTACATTAGTTGGACTATTGTCCTCATCTTTGTCGCCATATTTGTCACAACGTTTCGGCCGTTGTACGTTCTGGCCTTCTTCAGGTGGTTGGAATTTCAAACTGAACCCTTTATTTCGGTCACTGGGGTAGACTGTTCTAGTTCCACATGCCATGTCCTCAAGGACACATGGCACAGTGGATAAAGGTGTTGGTTAGATCCAGTGACAGACCCAAAGAAGGTGAGTTCAATACCTGGTAAAGGCAGTGGAGAACTTTCAGAGGGAAAATTAGCAGGAGATAACTGATAACTGACATCCATAAAACATGGCACGTGGAACTAGAACAGTCTACCCCAGTGACCGAAATAAAGGGTTCAGTTCAAAATTCCAACCACCTGAAGAAGGCCAGAGCGTACAATGGCCGAAACGTTGTGACAAATATGGCGACAAAGATGAGGACAATAGTCCGACTAATGTAAATACTGTACATAATACCTCATCTCAGAAATATAGACAGACACAGTCTGGTATCTGTTAGAGTGAAATATTGAGCAAGTGAAATAGCATAAGGAGGAATGGTCTGACAAGTTGAAAAAATGCAAATTCATACTAGATTTTTTGACAGACAGAGACAGTTGCTGGATCAGAGAGGGGGCTTTGGGTAAAAGATGGTTTTCTAAACGGAGAAATAGAATCACTGATATTTGCAATATAGGAACAGGCCATCAGGGTAAATGCAATTAAGGTCAAGATAAACAGATCACTAGAAGAAAGCAAATGCAGGATGTGTGGACACACTGATGGGACAGTTAACCCCATCCCCCCCCGCTGAATGTTCCAAATTGGCACAGAAGAAGTATAAGTGATGATATTATCCCCTGCCCCTAATTTATACAATCTAAAAATATTTTCTGGCTTTAAATAACCTGCAAAGGGTTGATAAGCTGTAGATAACAAATTGATCATTCAATGAAATACTGATTAGTTACACAGGCATGTCTTTTAGATTTATTTACATTCTCTAGAATGTATAGAAACTATGACCGCAAAATGAGGGTTCAGTTTATATATTGATTGTAATACAGAATTGATCCCCTATATTATGTCCACATTATAATTTTTTTTAAAGTTCTATGCTAACAGTTTCTTTTCTCACACATCTCACCTGTGGAACTCTCTTTTGGCTTCTTGCTTCCCAGTCAAGTTTGATCTTCAAAAATTTAGTTATGATGTCAATCGTTATCTTGTCTTCTTAATTCTTGTTCTTTTATTTTTCTATCTCCTTCAAAGTATTTTTTTCCTTATAGTCTCTAACACTCAGTAACTCAGTGCCTTAGTGGCTTTATTGCCTTGCTTGGGGTGGAATGATTAAAAAAAATATATACTTATATATATACCTGAATTCTTCATAACTTGCAACTTTTTGGTGTACTGCTCGAAACTTGGCATTATTTTCTCTCCAGTAACGATTATCGGCTTCAACAGATTCTTCAAAATCCTGCTTCATTTGTTCTAGGTCGAAATAATCACTATCATAGGAAGAAGAAGATTTTGTCTTCAAAAAAAGAAAAGATGAAAAAAATTAGCAAGACTTGAACCTGAAAATATCATTTTTCATTCAAATCATGCTTACTTTCTTTATATATTGGCAGGAGCTGCTCAGTCTTCACTTTCCAGTCTCAAAAGCTTCTCCGCATCCTTATGGGTGATGAAAATAGATATGAAAAGTTTGAGATATATATATAGATAGAAAAGAAGGAGACAAATAGATATCAAAAGTTTGAGATAGATAGATAGATAGATATGAAAAGAATGAGATAGATAGATAGATAGATAGATAGATAGATAGATAGATAATGAATAGATTGAAATAGATAGATAAATAATGATCGACTGAGATAGATAGATAGATAGATAGATATGAAAAGACTGAGATAGATAGATAGAAAGACATAGATAGATAGTTAATGAAGATGATTGAGATAGATAGATAATGATCGACTGAGATAGATAGATAGATATGAAAAGACTGAGATAGATAGATAGATAGATAAATAGATAGATAGATATGAAAAGACTGAGATAGATAGATAGATAGATAGATAGATAGATAGATAGATAGATAGATAGATAGATAGATAATGAACAGATTGAGATAGATAGATAGAAAGACATAGATAGATAGTTAATGCACCGATAGATAGATAGATAAGAAAAGACTGAGATAGATAGATAGATAGATAGATAGATAGATAGATAGATAGATAGATAGATAGATAGATAGATAGATATTTGCCCACCCATCCACTTAAGAAATTGCTTATGTGCTCTGGGCATTTCCTTTTTTTTTTTGCAAGTGTGGTTCAATCATCAGTAATTAAATACCTACATCACTGCTGAAAGAGAAGTACACTGCCTGAGGGACTTTCCCTTGGGGTTCAAGAATATTATACTTAAAATTTAATTTCAATAGGGTTCATGTCAGGTCAGGTGACACTAGCAAATAACAATATAAAATAATATTATTAAAGTAATACTAAAAATAATAGAAAATTAAAATTATATCTGTAATAAAAAAAAAGGCTAAATGCAACCAATACCAGCAAAAAAACAATCTTCAAAAATTCTATTTTTTTATTCAAAATAGCACCATTATTAAAAGAACTTAAAACGATTACTTGGTATTTTAGTGTGTCATTTTACTTACAATTATTTCTGTGATGCAAACAATAGCCAGTGCATTATTTAAACAAATTAGCTGCAGATAGTCAACAGTGTCTTTTTATAGCTATTTCTCACTTTTATTATTGTCATATTTACCTAAGTAGCAAAATAATCGTTTTAAGTAACATGTTAATCGATATAAGTGATGCGTAATTTGTTGCGCTTAGAAATTTACGTTTCAGATATGAAAATGAAGCTAGATTCTACTAAATAAAATAGATTTTTCTCGTAAAGATACCGATATTTAGAGAACTTAAAACGATTACTTGCTTACTTATTTTAGTGCATCATTTTACTTAAAATTATTTTTACGTGAGTGCATTATTTTTTTAATTTAACAAAATTAGTACGTAGTTTTTATTCTGTAATAATTCAATTGTAGTCATCTGACACTCGAGGCAGAAATACCTCCCACAATGGTAAGACTTTCGCTAGATGAAAATTAAAATATCATTGCCACTACTAAAGTCTAACCATTATGTGGGATATTTATGGGAGGTATTTCTGTCACACCCTGTATTTATTGCGAACTTCGGTTTTAAATTTACCTAAGTAGCGAAGTAATCGTTTTAAGTAACGTGGTTAATCGAAATAGGTGCTGTGTAATTTGTTGCGTTAAAATTTATTTAATCTTACAGTATTATTGTGAAATTATCCTCATCAGCCACAATCAATATCTTAGAATCCACTGTAAGCAAACATTCAACAGGGACCTCCGCATCTTTTCCTGGACTTTTTTTTCTACACAATTAGCAAAGTAATTTTTCTTGGTAACGCGGTTAATCGGACTGAGTGCTGCGTAATTATTTGTAAATTCTTTTAAAATGATTAAACAAAACAAAATTCATTTTTACAATAAAAATAGATTTTAAAAATCTACCTCTTCGGTCATTTCGTGCATTTTGTCAGATATTTCGTGTCAGTGGTCGAATGTTTAAGCTAAAAATAAAAACGGCTATAATCGATGTCGAGAAACACGTTGTCGTGTGAGAAATGTGATTCAAAATGGCCGCGTTGTCCTTAGCAACGAAAGTTAAACAAAAGAAGACACGGACTTTTTTTTTTTTTACCCGTAAAAATCGATGTTTTTATTTATTTTTGTTTAGCTCTACTTTTATTTATTTCGGTAAAATTAAATTCTATTTTAATTATTTCGAGAAGTTTCTGTAGTATATGTCTGGAGAATTTTATTCACGCGGGAAATAAAAAAAAAAGCAGAATAAAAAAATAAACTTGTCTTGTTGCTTTCAGGACGGGCAATGTCAGGAATAACAATTTTATTTTTTACCTGCATCATTTTTTTTTTTTTATCTTGCGCAAAAATAAAATCAAGATTTTCTAACCAATAGAAACACTCGCATCGAATATGAAAAATAGTAATAAAAAAAAATCAAACAAACTAATGTATATTTTTGTGGTTTTGGTTAAAAAAGAGATTGCGGAGAATGAAGATCAAGCGACAACAAGCCACACCGTAAAAATGACTAGAGATACTCAGTTAGATTTAAAACCAAAACAATTTTAAAATAAAAATTATAGCGATCTTCATCACATACACATACACCCTTACAAATTCAAATCTCTAACAGCATTCATTCATTGGTCAGGAAACAAAGCTGCTATCTGAAGTGACAATTTTGATATCGCTATATTTTCATATCGTATATTTTGTGCACTTTTGGGAGTATCGGCTCCCAGGAGTTTACCCAGAACTTATGCATTGATTTCAGTGGGATCATAGTAACAATGCTTATACTGATTTACTCTGACTTTTGTCACAAGAAAAAGAAAACGGACATGCCATAATGATGTTTAAATCTCCCAGCGATAAAGTAGAAATTTGGTTGTTCCAATTCTACGCATTTTAACCATTGTTATTCTAACATCTGAACCTAAAAAGAAAATGGATATACCGAGGGGACTTTAAAAAGAATAAAGGTCCGCAGTAGAAAATCAAGATTTTGTCTGCTTCTATCTTCATAGATAACGAATGACATTGCATTGAAATTTTTGAAGATCAAAGTTGAAAGTAAAAAGAGTGAAAGAGAATTAGAAGACTTTAGTGAGGGGAAAGGACAATAAAAGAAGAGGAATTAAGAAGACAGAAAATAACGATTGACATTGCATTGAAATATTTGAAGATCAAAGTTGACAGGAAAGTAAGAAGAGTGAAAGAATTAGAAGACTTTAGTGAGGGGAAAGGACATTAAAAGAAAAAGAATTAAGAAGACAGAAGATAACGATTGACATTGCATTGAAATTTTTGAAGGTCAAAGTTGACTGGAAAGTAAGAAGCCGGAATAGAGTGCGAGGTACGAAACTGTTAGGACATTACTTGCGGTTACCTCTAGGTATTTCAACTATAAAATGATGAGACCTAACTACCAATTTAGTACTGCGCTTAAATTCATAAAGTGGAGGTACTAAAGAGGAAAGCTCACCATGAAAATATTTATAGAAAAAGCATAGGGAAGCTACGTTACGGGGACGGGAAAGTAAATGAAGCTGAGATGGCAAGTCAAGACCAATAACATTGCATGTTTTGCATATGTCCATATAGGGATACTATTATGATTATAAACAAATAAAATAGAATATAAAATAATAATAATAATAATAATAATAATAATGAAAATTATAAATAAAATAAAATAAAACAATAATATTTAAACTTTGATTAAAATAAATTAAATAAAAATCATAAAAATAGTCCCAGCATGCAACAAAAACTGTTCCTGTCGGAAATACTGACATACACCCAAAAGATGTTAAATTCAATCTCTTCACCAAGAACGTTGGTACTGGCAACACGTGTCCAACTTCTCTGCAACATCATTAAACATTTACAACCAAAAATGCACACACCAGTACACATGAAAAAAGTAAATAAATTGTATGAAATTCACATAAAATTTACTACGTTTTCTTGTTATTTGTGTACGTTTTATTTCCTGTCAAGTATGTTTTTATCTTCGTGAACACAAGGCTAATTTCTGCTGCTATGATGACCCCACATCCAAGAGTAAAACGACTATAAAAGCTTTCTCAGCTGCACAAATAGTAATAAATTTATTAAATATGAAAGTAATTTGTCATATATTTGTGCAATCTGTTCACAAAATGGGTTTAATAAGCAAAAAGCAAATTTATATACAAATAGCGTTTGCATGTGTTTCATTGACATGCAGTTCACTTTTCACAGGACCGTCATTGATACTGGCCTCCATGAAAAAAGTTTTCCCACATTTGCACCAAAATGTAGGCAATCATGGCGCTCCACAGATTCTGTTTGTGTATTATCTGTGAATTACTACGACTTCTAGGGAAAGATAGCGAAAAGTTCTCCATTTCTTTCTCTAAATGTTTTGTAGTCCTGGGTATGACAATAAACTACACCTGACAGCAAGGTCTCTGATCGAGAGATTGGAGGTTTTGAGGAGCGAGGAACCACATCTTAATCGCTATTCTTCCCAGGTCCATCCTGGCCCGGGGTAGTAGGACCTCTTAGGGTCCCAGCCATGGGCAAATAGTGAACTCCCAAACGAAAATCAAAAGTACATTTTTATAGTAAATTGACCAACAATATATTATTGTAAACTAATAATCAATACAACAATAATAAATACTAATATCAATGTAACAGTAAAAAAATATAAACATACATTTTTATAGTAAAATTAACATTTACATTTTATGATCTACAAGCTATAAATAAAAAAAATCATAACTTTAATCTGAAAATATAAAATTATGTACAAAATATATGTTCAATATTTACATTATTCGGACTATTGTCCTCATCTTTGTTGCCATATTTATCACCCTTCAGTATCTGTCTATATTTCTGAGATGAGATATTATGTACACTATTTACATTATTCAGACTATTGTCCTCATTTTTGTTGTCATATTTATCACCCTTCAGTATCTATCTATATTTCTGAGATGAGGTATTATGTACACTATTTACATTATTCACACTATTGTCCTCATCTTTGTTGCCATATTTATCACCCTTTAGTATCTGTCTATATTTCTGAAATGAGGTATTATGTACACTATTTACATTATTCGGGCTATTGTTTTCATCTTTGTTGCCATATTTATCGCCCTTCATTATCTGTCTATATTTCTGAGATGAGGTATTATGTACACTATTTACATTATTCGGACTGTCCTCATCTTTGTTGTCATATTTATCACCCTTCAGTATCTGTCTATATTTCTGAGATGAGGTATTATGTACACTATTTACATTATTCGGACTATTGTCCTCATCTTTGTTGCCATATTTATCATCCTTCAGTATCTGTCTATATTTCTGAGATGAGGTATTATGTACACTATTTACATTATTCGGACTATTGTCCTCATCTTTGTTGCCATATTTATCACCCTTTAGTATCTGTCTATATTTCTGAAATGAGGTATTATGTACACTATTTACATTATTCAGACTAATGTCCTCATTTTCTTGCCATATTTATCACCCTTCAGTATCTGTCTTTATTTCTGAGATGAGGTATTATGTACACTATTTACATTATTGGGGCTATTGTTTCCATCTTTGTTGCCATAAT